CCAGAGATTTTTCCAACTGACAGATGCTAGTTCTTTAGTTGTCTGAAATAAGTTTTGACTTCAGCAGGGCCTCACGTGCACTGGTTGCTGCAGCTGTGTCCTGGTACCTTTTTTTCTCTAACCTAAACCCAGGTCCCGGTCGAGATCCCGTTCACGGTCCCGAGGTCGAAGGTATTCTCGCTCACGCAGTCGGAGTCGTGGTAGGAGGTGTGTTTAAGTTTGTTCTGTTTGCTACTTTTGCTTAGAAAAAGCTACACTTATATAACTTTTCCTTTATCGACTTCTTTGCAGGTCCAGGTCAGCTTCCTATCGTAGATCCCGCTCTGTTTCTCCTCGTAGGTCTAGGTCTGTGTCTCCCCGCCGGTCCCGATCGGCATCCTTGAAGAGATCAAGGTAATTAGTGTTAGTTTTATACAGCTTATATGCTTTGTTTTTGGTCTTGTTTTTTTCCGCTTTAGTTAGGGGGTTCAAAGAGGTGTTGGATAGCAGTCTGCAAAAGGGATTGACCTCTAGAAATGTGTTTTTAGCACACTTTAAATAGTCTGTGATAATCCTAGTTGAATTTACAGGTGGGGTTGTACGATTAGTTTTGTGCGCTTCCCAGCTGCGTATCATAGAATCATAGAATAGTTAAGGTTGGAAAGGACCTTAAGATCATCTAGTTCCAACCCCCCTGCCATAAGCCGGGACACCACACACTAAACTGTGTTGCCCAAGGCTCTGTCCAGCCTGGCCTTAAACTCCTCCAGGGTTGGAGCATTCACAACTTCCTTGGGCAGCCTATTCCAGTGCCTCACCACCCTCACTGTGAAGAACTTCTTCCTTATATCTAACCTAAAGTTCCCCTGTTTAAGTTTAAAGCCATTACCCCTTGTCCTACCACTACAGTCCCTAATGAAGAGTCCCTCCCCAGCATCCTTGTAGGCCCCCTTAAGATACTGGAAGGCTGCTATAAGGTCTCCCACCAGCCTTCTCTTTTCCAGGCTGAAGAGCCCCAGCTTTCTCAGCTTGTGTTCATAAAGGAGGTGCTCGTGGCCCTCCTCTGGACTTGCTCCAACAGCTCCATGTCCTTTTTATGTTGAGGACACCAGAACTGTACGCAATACTCCAAGTGAGGTCTCACAAGAGCAGAGTAGAGGGGCAGGATCGCCTCCTTTGACCTGCTGGTCATGCTTCTTTTGATACAGCCCAGGATACGGTTGGCTTTCTGGGCTGCAAGCGCACACTGCCTGCTCATGTTGAGTTTCTCATCAATATCCCAGAATGAGTTTTGATGTCTAAAACATCTAATGATCATGTAGATTGAGTTGACTTTGATTTTGTTTCAGTTTGTCTCAATTTTTTATTTCAGGTCTAGATCAAGATCTAGATCTAGGTCCAGATCTGTTACGTGGCCCCGAAGCAGGTAAGATCTCTTCTGTGACCGCGGGTGCTTAGTAAAAGTTGCTGAAAAGTTTGTTTAGGCTTTTTAACAGCTGCTAAGGTTTTTCAGAAAAAGCTGTGTTTTCTTTCCATTAACATCAGGGTCTGTAGTTCTAAAAAGCAGTGCAGAAGGTTGTTCATTCTCCTTTTATTGTTTTACATATTACTGATATCCAGGTCCCAGTAGTCATCATGGATCTGTTTTCATCAGGTTGTATTAACTGCTAACGTAGCAAAGAAATTCAGAATCAGAAAAGGTTTTTCCTTTTTCTTTGTGTAGCACACACGAGATTGTGGATTCTTCCCTTTATTAGCCAGAGGAATAGGGATGCCTTTCTGGTAGTGTATGAAAGCATTAATGTATATATCCGGGCAAGTCACAAAGGGCTTGTTAGTACTGAGTGTTATAGCTGCTTCCAGCTTTGTTGAATAACAGAAGTGTCAGCCTGCAGGAGCTGAATTAAATTGGAGATAAACACTTGTCAGAATTATTTTGTACCAATACATGTGCCATAACATGGAATTTTAAAGGAACACAGCATGTCATTTGTTCTCTTAAGTTGTAGTTTAATCCTTCCATAGTAAGTGAATGCAGCTTCTGCTTTTGTGCAACCTTGTCCAGGCAGCGTGACTGATAGAGGTTGATGAGATGTCCTGGGCAAGATGTCATAGGACAACAAGAGTAAATTGAAGTTCTACTCTGAAGGAGATGGTACTGCTCTTGCCTCAGCCCATTCTCAGGCCTGCTGTTCTGGTTTGATGGCTGCTCTTTGAAATAAACAATATAACCATAGCAACCAAACACAGGAAAATAAAAGGGAAGCTTTAGCTCAAGGGAGTAAGTGGAAAAGGCCATAGCTGAAGATGGGAGATTCAGTGCTGAAAGGTAGTGGTATTTTCTGAGAGTGGAACAGCAAGGAATGACAGGAGTTTTTAGGGAATGGAGAGATGAAGACCAGAAGATGGTTGCATTAAGAGCAGACGCTCTCAGAAGCAGTTCAGAAGCTAATAAAAAGAGAAGGGAAATTCCCCGATGCAGTAGAGCAATGCCTTTCACTGATCTGGTACTCTACCTGTCAATAAAATACGTTGCATCTTAATACCAGTTCTTACACACTTAGTGTGAATCTTGCCGTCTCAAACATGGGAACGTGCATGCTACCAGCTTCCCTCCTGAGCCGTGTTTTTTTCTTCCTGTAGGTCTAGGTCTCATGGCAGATCAAAATCTGGCTCACCAGCTAAGAGGTAAGCATACAGTGATAAAACTGCAGTAGTATCTACAATTCAGTAGTAGGTTTGAATGACTTAACAAAGCCTAGTCCTTTGGAAGAATATCCCCCAAACGTGTGCCTAGCTAATCTGATGGTGGTATGACTGAGATTATAGAATTTCCTCTGCAGCTATTTGGAATATGTTCTTTGTTTCCATCACCTCTTTGTAGTTTCCAACATAGTGCTTTGTGTGTGTATGTCTGCGTTCAGTTGTGTTACATCTTTCTATCCACCAGAAAAAGGGCTTTAGCTTTATTAAGTTGTGATAAAACAGCGGGAATCTGTGATGTATCTTTTTTCAAAGCCTTGCCTCTACTACCCCTTGTTTTCCTGTTCTGTCTACTGAAGACAGTTGCTTAAAATAAGGCTCCAAGTTAAATAAATTCCCTGTCAGAGTAAAACTTGATTTGAAAACTAATATTTTAAAGAACTTCTGGCCAGTTTTCTTTAGTGATTCCATTGCTGTTTAACATGCTTATTTATTAGTTTTTTAATATAAAAGTTCAATTTGACCTTTAAGCTGCAATGATGATATTCTATTTTGACAGTCGGTCAAAGTCCCGGTCACCATCTCCAAAGAGAAGGTATGTTGATCTCCCTACTAGTAACATAGACCACGTAGAGCTGGCAGTTTAGTATCTGCAGTGATCTCTGCTGAGGAGTTTGACTGCTGCTTGTAGGAAAATACCGGAAAGGTATTTTGCCAAGATCTCTTCAACAGAAATAATGTGATTGTGGTTTTATATATGGTGAATATATATGTGGTAATAATTCTTTGGGATACTGATTACATAGCAGCATCGCGTCTTGTCTTTGTCTGCTCCTGTGTTCAGTTTACCAACAATTTTATTGCACAGAGACTTCAACTGCTGAGCTTAAAGCACAGAACAAATGTGGGGATTAGCTTTGAGTCTCATTAAAAGCTGCAGTGAGATTGGGGAAGAGAGAGTGGAGTAACCTGCATACTAGTCAGGAATGGAAGATAACATGGAGCCTGTTAGTTTTACTGTTGTTACTCAGGATTAATTTTCCCAAAAAAAAACTGGTAAATATCTGTGTGTACGCAGATAGGTGTACTGACAGAATCCACATCTAGTCCCCTCGTCTGAATTCTTTAATAGGCCATTTTTACAACTTCAGTGTTCAGGATTTGTGGGGAGGACATGTATCCTAGAAAATAGTAGCAGACTTGCCACAGTGTGTCCCTTGCCTTGGTGATCTTTCTGCCCTGCAAGTTTTGGGTTTGGTTTGGGATCACAATCACAAAGGACTTGAATAAATGCTCAGTGTTGAGTGATCAGGATAAAAAGTTTTGACAAGTTGCTGTATCAGAACAGTGAAGAAATATCCTGCCTCCGTGAGGGTCACTTGATCACAATTTAATTGTATTATAAAAATAACAGTAGAGAAATGCAAAAATATGAATGTTAAAAAGGTATTATCTCTAAATTGTCAACCCATTAACTTTGTCAGTAGTGATTTTTTTATTTTATAAAAGCAGTGCTTAAAGGATGTGGGGTAGTCTGGGTATCCTCCTGCTGCTTTTTCTTGTATTTGTGAATCCAGAATGACTACTGAAATGTTAACTGTGGGTTCTTTTCCTTTCAGTCGTTCACCATCAGGAAGCCCTCAAAGAAGTGCAAGTCCTGAAAGAATGGATTAAAGTTAAAGTTAATCTTTTAGGAAGAAAGTTATTTTGCTTACATTATTATAAGGGATTTTGTGGTGTCTTTGTAAATGTAAGAATGTAGATAGGAGAGTATATCAACTAAAATTTGGCATGATCTGGGTCTTCTGAGTTAGTCACACTAATAGACTAGCACAGGTCTCTTTTTATTGTATGAATTAACTTCCTGTGAAATGAAAATGCGGGACTTTTTTATTGGCACATTGAAATAAAATGTGTATTTTTAACTAAAACTCCTCTGTAGTAACCCTGCTGCTTCTGTTAACCTTTGGGTAATTTTAGCTGTGTGCCATGTAATGTGGATGACAAATGTCTAAAATGGATGGGAGTGACTAATACCAGTGTCTTCTCCAAGTAGTCACTTTTCACATTGATTGTTGAATGCTGCTTGGTGAAAGGATCAGTTTCTGCTTCCTTTGAAATGGAATTTAAAAACCATCTCTGTCTGCAGATGGCCAAAAATTAGCATATGCACTTTTTATTCCTTTTATGATATTTAGCAGGCATTCATTTCCCCTCCCTGATCTGACCTGCAAAGTTTACTCTGACGCTTGACTAGTTGGGATACCAGATGCCCAAAGACTTAAGGATGAACTTTTATTCAAAACAGTGACATCTTCATAAAAGAATAACATCCGCAGAGACCTCTAAATGTAATAGAAATCATTAATAACTTGACGATTGCTACTTCACTTGTTGCATTTTTTGTTTCTTTAGGCTATTAATACAAAGAAAACTTCTTAAAATGTTTCAAGGCACGTTTTCTTTTTTTGAGGGAATATGTAAGCTCTTCTGACCTACTTTCTAAAGGACCTTAGGAGAATGTGTTGAGAGGCAAAAGAAAGCTGTTACTAGTCTATATGCATCTCACTTAAACTTTCCTCCTTAAAGTGAAAGATTCTCACAGCTGACCTCAGGAATTCTAACCTGCTTCACAGAAATCCATATGGTTTTAAAGCAGCCCAGATCCTGGAGATGGTTTTGTTGAATTAAGGTATTTTCTTACAGCAAATGCACACCTGCAGGATTCATTATTTGTGTATAGGTATGTCAAACTCTGTGTTTGTCCTCATTCTGTAGAAAAGAGTTGTATGATAAGGCACTTTGACACAAATCACAGCAAGAGACTGGAAACAATGTTAGACTGAACAAACAAGCTGGTAGCTGGAGGGGAAAAAAGCAAATGTATCTAGCAGAAATAAAGGCCAGTTTCAGCAGCAAAGAGGCACTGAAATGGAAAGTGAGGCTTGTTTCAGCTTCTTATGAAGTCAGTCATGGCATTTGCTTCCAATGTGTACAGCACAGCAGAAAAAAATAAGATTAACTTTGGTCACACTTTGGGTAACCCATGATGTTCAAAACCCAGTTCTCCTGTTAACAGTGGCTTTATGGAGCTTTTTCAGTGTATGAGTAAATAGTCCAGTTCTGAACATACTGTCATGCTGCAGCATTGTCTGGCCTTTATGCTTGGTCCTGACTGTTGGGTGCTTGGTGTCTGCCTGGACACCCTGTGGTGCTCAGCAATGGGGATTAGTGTTTCATCTGCTGGGTGCAGTGATCAATACTCTGTCAATATCCATTTAAATTCCACTGTCACCACAATGGGCGGGGGGGGGGGGTGGTGACACCG